TAATAAATAAAGGGAAATAAAACCTAAACATAACACTTTATCTATCATGTTGAAGCGTAAATTGTAACTCTATTAATCGCACTGCAAATTTGGTGCCTGTCAAAAGTGAGACCCGTCCGGCTGGCCGAAAAGTGATTTTGGGATTTTTTTTATCATTTTCATTAAAAGCCCACAATTATTACCCTGCATATCACATAGGACCAGATTTTTCTAACTGAAAAGTCCTGGCATTATAGAATTCTCTTCATGAAAACGTTTTATAATTCAATGCTATAATTTGTTGTGCAAAGGAAGCGTGTGCTTTGATCGTCGTGGATATTGAATGAGTGCAAATTCTCTTGCAAAATTGTGAAAAACTGCAGAATTATAGGTTTAAATAGGGCAAAAAAGAACAAATTCTGTTCGAGGTCTGTATGATAAAAACAAGGGCCTCATAGTACTGTTTACCTGAGACGTGATGAGAAAAAGTATGTTTAAAAGGCTGGTTTACACGCCACTAGATTCGTCGCCAAGATTTACTAGTAAACTAAACTTGTCGAACACAAAAAATCCGGCCTGATTTTTTATTTTGGCCTCTCTTTTAGACAGAGGAATGCAACGTGTAAATTGGCTGCCACCAAGGACTATCGTGGCGCGTGTGTTTCTTAAAATTATCTTTCGGGGTTTTCCAATTATCCATAGTCTCTCAAACGGAGCAATGTTGGAGGTACAAATAAGACTATTTAATAACTCGATGTAAAAGCTGTTTCACTCTTGGACTGTCAAATTATTTTTCTCTAAAATCACTTAGCCTTTGCCTCAAACGTCAAATGAATGTGCCCTGATCTGTGGATTACAAGTTCATTGTTTGATTTAAATTATGAATTTATTAACGGGAGCTTCGCTTTTAGCCCTGGCTAAATCTATATTAGGCTAGTTAGGTTCTTAAATAGGTTCTTAATTTGATAGGGGCACTAGCGATCAGCACAGATGACTAGTACAGGGCGTATGTGCTGTGGAATATATTGCTGTATTAAATAATTATCTAGAAAACAGTTTAGATGACAACCATGCAGTAAATTTATCTTTTTAAAGTACTAGCATGCATGTCTTAATTTCATGCTGCAGTGTACATGAAATGCTGTTACATTTTTGATTCCGCTTTAAATCTCATACTGCTTGCAATTTAGACTAAATTTTTTTTCTGTATTTTCATCTGTGCCTTCATTTTTGTAAAATAAGTACCTATTGAAAATTTTAGGCTAAATAGGTTCTCATGAAAGTGGGTTTAAAATGAAAATTTCAGCTTAACCTGACAGGTTGTTAAATTTTGGGTTCTTAAACGCGGGTTTTTACTGTATTACATTTAGCTCACATATGCATTGATGCAAACGGCCTTAACAGTTTAAAAGACTTAAACATACTGTGCTTAACATTAACTAATAGAAGAACTCCCTTTTGGTCTATTTGGTCTTTACCTAAGTTCTATCGTCAGATGCGAGCGTCTAAATGAGAGTTTGGGCCTAATTTGTCCCATGAATAAGATAAGTTTAATAGCTAGCGATTACAGCAGCCTCTCATTGCTTTACCAACACGAAACTTTCTTGCGGCGACGAGGGATGAGGTAGAGTAGTCTAGACTGTGTAAATTAGTAGGCTCTGCCAACATCTATAAACGAACGAATGTAAAGGAACATAAAGCGAAAAAGATTTGCTGCCCTATAATTGCTGGTTTACCTTTCTCACAGCACTGAGTGTCCCGAATAGCCTTCTTTACAAAAGCATGTTCCACGCTTTAAACTTCCCCCTTTGAGACAGCTTATCTCCTGGCATCCTTTTGTCTTCCGTAATGTTGGCGAGCAACTTCCACCACAACGCTCGGTGATTATTCTATGACGGGCACCAGTTTGAATACCAGAGACGCCGCATAAAGTAGAGCAGGCACTCCACGCAGACCAAGAGCTCAGCTGACAGTTCACTGATCGTGTACCATAGCATTGCCGTGTTTTCTCTAAGGTAGGACATTCTGAACCTCCACAACTCGGCCCAGATACTCGCCATCTTGTCCGTTGTTGTGATCCTTGTTGTCCACATTGTTCAGCACTACATGAGCTCCAAGAAGACCAAGAACTCACTTCACAATTCCGAGGTCTGCAAGATCGACGGCGACGACGACGACGTCTTGACCAGGCGTCAATTAAAAAACAGCAAAACGAGAACTATGTTGCAAAACTTCATTCTGAAATTTTTGGACACCTTTCACGGAGGAGAATTTTCTTTTGTAAAGAGATAAAATATATCTTTTAGCTAGGGCTAAAAGCGAAGCTTCAGTATATAATTTATAATTTAAATCAAACAGTTAACTCGTAATCCACAAGTCCGGTTCACTTTAGAGAAAATCCATATGACTTTTTGGAGGAAGGGGCTGGGTGATTTTAGAGAAAAAAATAATTTTCAAACAGTCGAAGAATGAAACAAATCTTATATCGACTTAATAGTCTTGTACCCCCAAAAAACAGCAAGATCAACTCGGGTTCTTCATATTTTCATATTTCAGGTAAGCTTACTTTTTTCAGCGAGAATAGAAAGTGTAAACAAACGCATAAACTTCATTCTACAGGGCACGAGTTATGTATAAAGAGTAACACACTGCCAAATTCTTGAATGGCAAGTAATGAATAAGAAAATAAATAACGATTTAATGGAACAAGTACAAAAACAACACCAGTTTCAACGTCTGATTATTCTCGTCCCTAGAGACACTCGGCTTAATTTGTAACCGAACCACGTGACCAAGAAACGACGAGCTCTGGGGAAGAAAATGCTCGTCTGATCTGTTTCTAAGGGCGCGATCCATTCAACCAAAATTTCCGGAAATTTCGGTCCAAAACTCAATGGATCGGTTCGGTCCAACCGGAAAAGTTTCGAAAAAACGGGTCCACCTTTTGAGGTGGTCCTCTTTTCCCGGTCGGACCGGTCTGAATTTTGGTTGAATGGATCGCGCCCTAAGAATATCAAAGATTCACGATCTGCGGTCTCTCGATCGAGTTTTGAGCTAATGTTATGAATGAACAAAGACAGATAAACTATTTCTTGAAAATTTGTATTTAAAAACCCATCTGTTTATCCTTAAAAGCAATTCGCGTAACACTAACTGGATCGTGAATCCGTTTACGCAAGTTAAATCGGCTGAGCACATGGAAAATTCAAAATAAAATCAATTTCAATAAGGCGGGCTCGATCCAGTGTTTTTGTAGGTACATCTTTGAATCTCTTAGACTTAAACAAATTGATCTTGTAAAACTTGAACATTATAACACATTCCCTCTTGAACAAAATGTAGTACACATACCGTGAATGATCGATTACGGCGCCGAGGCGCTTATTTCATTTTCCTTGTTATAGATGCACAGGTCACCCAGGCTCACTGTTTGTGTCCTCGTACGGATTTCATAACATGGTTAAATATAGAGAACATATGGGGCGAAGTTTAGGTCTGGAAATTTGCTAGAAAATGGAAATAAAAATCGTTGAAACTTACAATGTGGCGAGTTGTTGTTGTCCTTAATAATGTACACGAACACGAAGTTTCGGGAAAAATAGTCTGTTTCACCTTTCCTTCATAGTATAGTGGTATACTACGTTAGTTATTAACAGTTGTTATAATGTATTTTCTGAGCCAGTTTTAAGACCTTGATCCTTGTAAAACGTGAGAATGTATCATTTTATTGCACTTTTAAAACTTTTAAAACTCTGTATTGTAACATGATCATTGATTTCAACTTTGTTTCCCAAATAGTACCGATAAAATCAACAAAAACTTTTATTGTAAATTGGAACTTGGTTTCCCTGTTGATGTACAGGGCACAATAAAAAGTAAATCAAGCAAGAGAGGCTAACTGGACAGAGGACGCCCACTCTAGCCTTTTGGATACTTAATTTTGTTAGTGAAAAACTGCAAGGGGTGACAGGCTGTACATCTATACCGGCGTGAAACCGTGTGTTGACCAAATATTGTGGCTTCCACAAGAATTTCCTTTAATATGATTTCCCTTTCTTGTAGGAAATAAAAGGTCGCTCTTTAAATATTTGGCAAAGTAGTGATTGGTTTTGTATCAGATTTCCTCTTTTTCAAAGCTTCTTTTCAAGTGATGGCTACCAAGATTTCAATTGGTATTTTATCACGAAAGGCGCGGCTTTTTTCTCTGTTAGTTATAGCGCCTTTTCTTTCAAATTTTGTGGGTTGCCGTTCTCCATCAAGCGTTTTTTACAATTTGAAATACTCCTTTCCTCAAACGTTTCTTCTGAGGAGTTTGTGTCGGTTTGGGAAGGGCCGGTTTACCGTTTGTTTAAATTTAATGTGTCTCAGCATCAGGAATACTGAGCTTTTTCGTTGAATCTTGTGCCTTTGTATATTTATAACCTTGTCTAAAAACACAGTCTCTTTGTCAGATATTTCGGCCGTGAATTCAACATTATGGTGATGTAAGTTTCACTGAAGTTTGCCTGTTCTAAGAAAGCTACGATGTCTGGTTTAAGTATGTTCCAAAGATCTAGTATGTAGTGTTTCCAAAACCATTGGTTTAAAGAATGTTTTGCTTACTGAGAATTTGTGTTTCAATATATCCCACGAAAATGTTGGCAAAGGAAACTGCTGTCTTTGTGCCCGTCGTGGTTCTGTGGTGCTTTCCATTGAAGTGGAAAGAATTTTCTCAAACTTTAAAATCTAAGCATTTCTCGCAAATAATATGTAGGAATAGGAAAGTTGTCCTTGTAGAAATTTTTATACGCTCTGCAAACTACTCGTTTTATGTTATATTTGCCATGACTTGTGACGTCCAACGAAACAAGAAGTGTTCGATTTTTCACCTTTTTTTCAAAATATAATTTATAAAGTCGGTATAACTTCCGTGATTTTGATATTGGTTGTATCAACAATGTTACGTACCAACTGATAAGTCATAAAATTTAATGTGGTTACTTTCTAAGGTAGAAAAATACGAAGTGCTCTTCTTTATGGAAACAAATATTGTTAATGTCGGTAATCGGTTAGTATTTTTCCTGGCATTAGTCGGTTATTTTTTTCTTGTTTTGTCGGTAGTCAGTAATATTTTTCGCCCTTTGTCGCTAGTCGGTTAACCCTATTCACACCCTCCAATACGAAATCCCACAGCAAAAACTTAGCCAGATCTATGACATCGCTTTAATTTTTACTCAATTTTCCGCCTACGTTAGACAACTTCTAAAGTTTTCAATGGACACGAAATTCGGGGATTTATAGTACACTGATCAACTGCAGCACTGAAATTTTTCAAAGAAAATCCTTCGACGAATTTTGTTTTCATCGCTGTTTTCGTGAAAGTAGCTTAGAAATTACAAAAAGAGCTCAGCATTGCGTTTTACTGTTCATATGCTTTCATGTTTTTTTTCGGAATCTACTTGCGTTCAGCCGGTTGTAAAGTGTATAAAGGTTAATTGGTAAAACTAATGAGTGATAAAAACGTTTCGGAAGCATTCAAAAAGTAGCAAATTTGTCTGTATTAAGTCCACCTTTCAGTTCATACATATTTTACACCTTTTGGTAGAAATTCCAAGATGTCTCGAAATTCCTCTTAAATAATAGGTAGCGTAAAGCATTTCGAAAATGAAATGCCTATAAGGGCAGAAATTCGATTTAGAGCTAAAACTATTGTGACGTCTTGTCACGAGATATTGATTCCGACCGCCTAAAAATTAATATCATAATAAAGCCTAGTCTCCAGTGTGTAATACATGTGTTACAATGGGTTATATTTGTTTTTAAATTAAACAAATCGTATAAGAGATTCAAAGATGGAAGGTGTCGCTACAAAAATACTGTGTCGAGCCACCTTAAATCGGGACACATTTTGTGGTTTTTCTTTCACGCAGATGTCAAAATGTACAAAACGTCCATGTTCGACCTAGAACAAGGATTTCGGGGCTGTTTCGCAGACGGACTTAATTTAGTTTCGTCTGTAGCGAAGGCTATAACTGAGACCTATGCCACCCCGCGGTTTTTTTACTTCCATACGCACGCTCGATGATCTCTGGAAAGAAAATTAAATTGAGGGTCTGTGAACAGGCTAACTCCCGGAGCAGGTTCTTTGGTACTTGGAGGGTATTCAAAACATAGTTTAAATTAATATATGTGCGCAAAAAGACAACACAAGAATTGAAACAACATTATTTTAAAAGTTTACCCCCTTCCCCAATTCAACTGCATTTGAAACCGAACCAGCATTTCCACTGCGTCGAAATTCTCNAGCATTTCGAAAATGAAATGCCTATAAGGGCAGAAATTCGATTTAGAGCTAAAACTATTGTGACGTCTTGTCACGAGATATTGATTCCGACCGCCTAAAAATTAATATCATAATAAAGCCTAGTCTCCAGTGTGTAATACATGTGTTACAATGGGTTATATTTGTTTTTAAATTAAACAAATCGTATAAGAGATTCAAAGATGGAAGGTGTCGCTACAAAAATACTGTGTCGAGCCACCTTAAATCGGGACACATTTTGTGGTTTTTCTTTCACGCAGATGTCAAAATGTACAAAACGTCCATGTTCGACCTAGAACAAGGATTTCGGGGCTGTTTCGCAGACGGACTTAATTTAGTTTCGTCTGTAGCGAAGGCTATAACTGAGACCTATGCCACCCCGCGGTTTTTTTACTTCCATACGCACGCTCGATGATCTCTGGAAAGAAAATTAAATTGAGGGTCTGTGAACAGGCTAACTCCCGGAGCAGGTTCTTTGGTACTTGGAGGGTATTCAAAACATAGTTTAAATTAATATATGTGCGCAAAAAGACAACACAAGAATTGAAACAACATTATTTTAAAAGTTTACCCCCTTCCCCAATTCAACTGCATTTGAAACCGAACCAGCATTTCCACTGCGTCGAAATTCTCCCCCCCCCCCACCCCTCTCTCTAAACATCCCTCCCCCTTAACCATAAATAACATAGTTACAGTCGGCCTGAGCGCTAATTTCGTAGAAAACACTTTCATCTCCTCCATTTGTGGAACTAGAATTAAAACTTATAAACTGTTGCAGTGCAGTAACTGACCGCTACAGAAAGGTTAAATGGCCCCAAGAGAAACTGATACAATGCTTATGCAACATTTTGGAGTGACCAACAAAGAGTATTTTCATTGGTATGTTATCGCATTTTATAAATGCGGGCTGTACCAAATAAACAAACTAAATTTGTAACCAATGCTCCATGACTGCATCAAAATATTGCAGTAAGGTTGGGTTCAAGAAGAATCATAGAAGGCTCAAAGGCACCCAAGCAATGAAATCTGGGTTACTCCGCTCTTATTGGTACACTGCATCTTTTTTGCTTCTTTTAAGACATTACCTGATTAAAATTTCAAGACCCGCCACCATAACAATAACACGCCAGGACCTCTCCTTTTTGCAGTGCCTAGATCCCTCCATTTCTTACTCATTCCCCCTCCTATAAATAATGAACGTTCCCTCAGAAAACTAAGCGTAACCGACTCTATCACTTGTACATCTGCTTTTTTCACGGTAAGAAACTTTTAAGTAAACAGAATATGCCTAAGTCGCCTTCTAGTGTGGTGTTGTTTGACCTAAAGGGAAGTAAAATATCGCGTATTCAAACTATAAATACGGTCTGCAACGTTAGATTTGTTCCTTAGTTTCAAAGCAATAACCTCATTCAATTTCTTTTACTTTATTTTGTTTATCTTGTATGCACAATAAGAGATTCTGATGCGAGAGTCTTATGGAGGCTTTTTGAGCTTTTTGGTGTACCTTGCATGAACATAATTCTCTCAATAATTCTCTGACGAAAATATTTAAGAGCGGCTGTCGGTAAATATCGACCAGAGGTAGGAAAAATAAAATTTTTGAAAAATCCCCAAAAAATTATGTAGACTGCCCTAGGTATTCTAGTAATGAAAATATAAATTTTAGTTTCATGGGATAAATATTTTGGCGATACGGCGAATGTCAAGTTCGGGCGATTGACGGCCTTCGCCAGACCGCCGTTTTCGGGCCCCTAGACCGGGCTTCGAAAAGACCACGATTTCAATCGAATTCAAATATCATTCAACCCAAATAGCTTCTTATCGTATTAAAAGGGGTTTAATACACATACTGATTTGTCATGTTCTTGAATTGATCGCAACTGGAATATTTTATGGATTTTTAAATATTTTTTCCAAATTTAAGGGTTTTACGCGAGCAAAATATTGTCAGATTTCAAAGGCCTAAAATCACTTCCGATACATGATTTCTAACAGAAAAAGACATTCTACGTTAAAAAGAAATCTCTAAGCTTTCAAAATATGCTTTCAAAACTCTGGGCAACATGTGAAATGAATTTTTGGGAACGCAAAATTCACAGAGTACTTGAGTGTAATTTGACCTTTCTGACTCGACAGTCAAGAGGTTCGGCGCGACACAAATCATTCCTCCAACAAATGTTTCAGATAAAATGCGTTTAATTTAGGCAATCTCAAGTCCCACAGTGATACATAGATGCTTCATATACATTAGGTGGAAAGTTTCACGCCATTTTGTCAGCCGCAAAAAACTATTTCTCTGGCCTTCAGGTGCAGTAGTTGAACTCGCCTCGCTAATGTAAACATTTGGGTCAAGTTCTTATCACGAAACAGCGAAGTTTTCAAAATCTACACCAACTATCTATCCTGTCTAGTAGATAATCAGGTCTACAATTTGTTTGTTTGTACCTTGTGTCCTTGTTTGACTTCATTCCCACAATGAAACTGAGACATGCAAACTACAACGAAATTCCCGCTCGCTCGACAAGTCACAGCTGAAGTCACGTGTCAGGTGAAGGGACCGTTTTTCGTTTTAGACCTGATTGCGTTACCTAAACATTGCTGAGTTGTGAAAAAAAATCGAGTTTTAGGTGTGCCAGACAATCTCCAGGAAATCTCAATTTTTTTCTTACCATGCAGCTTTACCGATCTCAGGCTTGTGATCCCCGAGCGTTTCTAACCGCGATATGTACATTACCTGTTCTTTCTTGTTGTTTGTTCGTTTGTTTGTTTTGTTGTTATTTCGGTTATTTCCCCCGTCCTGATACAACCTAAGGGACTGGTCATTATTTATCGCCGCGGGGGCGGGGCAGGATTTAGGGCTAAACAAGGTGAATATTAGCGGATCTTCCCTTTGAATGTTACTTCCCTGAAGTGATCCTTCCTAATCACTTTTGATGACTTTCACGATCCCCGATAACCGCCCCCCCCACCACCACCACCGCCACATGTTTTCATTTTCCAAGCAAATTTGAGTGGTCCCCCCTCTGAATCCTTCCAAAGTTTTCAGCGATCCTCCCTTTTGGGTTCTCAGTTACGATTCATCCCCAGGGGATCAATAATGACCGGTCAGATTTTTCATAATAAATATATTTTTAGTAAAAAACTTTAAAATTTCAAAGTTGATATCTGGAAAATGGTTCGGACAGTCTGTAAATATCCCATCTGAATGACTCAGAAACCCGGGGAAAGGGGACTTTGCTCCCAGGGGAGCATGCCCCCAGACATCTCTAGAAGTAGGAAATTGGTCAGTATTTATTCTAGATCCGCACCTGGGGAGGCTAGGTACTTTTTAAATCTAACTTTAAGCTGTCCACCTATTGCACTATTGTAGTCACAAGGCAAGTTAACATTATGATAAAAAAAAACCTATTATCTCCAACGCTGATTTATCTGCAAGGAATGGGGTTCAAAAGCGTGGTTTGCAAGCTAGAGCTATAAGTGCATTACGCTGTAATACGTTTCTGGCTATTATTGTTATTATTATTATTATTATTATTATTATTATTATTATTATTATTATTATTATTATTACTATTATTATTATTATTATTATTATTATTATTATTATTATTATTATTATTATTATTATTATTATTCATATCTTACACCACTAGTTGTATCAGTGGTCACGTATCCCTAGATCATCAAGCTATTTCTTAATATAGTCTTAGGTGTCTAACGGACCAGGGGCGGGGGAGATAAAGATTTGTTCTTGTTACACTGATTCTTCTATAATGAGTTCTAAGATGTGCAGGCACCCACGCAAGTTCAATAGCATGATGCAGAACTGACTGTAAAGCGGCACTTAATTGATCAGTTGCTCCCTCCTATGCGCACGTACTGTGTGCTCGGTTATTTATTACTTGAACCACACTGACCACCCACCCAACGCTCCATTTTTGCACGCTGTATCGCCACACAAAAGCAAGCAAAACTGTACTAGCTGGCAATGATGCTCGTTTATTTTTATCACTAGAGTAAACTTAGTAAAACAAGACGGTCCAAAAATCTATAAATATCGACGCTGCAATCGCTAGTTAAGACCGTGGTAGGACGCCCTTACTTGACAATTGCTTTACACTGGCCTTATACAGCATCTTGCAATACAATTGCACAACGCATTAGGATATTTCCAAACAGAAAGAAACCAGGACGAACAGAGGAAGGGGAAGAAGTGTCGAACCACTACCAACAACCAAAAAGAACAACCCAAGCAATAATATCTGACCCTAGGTCCGGCCCGAGGCGGGGGTTGGAGGGGGAGGGGAGAGTTGAAGTTACCGAGATGGTAAAGGGATTTCTTTTTTGTTTTGAAATTTTTCATCACGGGATTTCTTTGGGGATAGGAAAATTTGGAAAATATAAATATCTGTAGACATTTTTGGTAGCTTGATTTAAGTAGGAATTCCAAAGGGTATTCAAAACAATCTGATTGGTGTAGTACCGCGCGCGTACAATGCTGGCCGCGCAGTTCAGACTGTCAGATGAGAAAAAGTAAAATTCAGCGGATGGTACGATAAATAAACCAACCACAAACATTTACTGATCCTGACATTGATCCTTCAGGAAAAAACTCAGGGCTTGGAGAAATAAGGGCTTGAAAATTTGGGGGGTTAAGTTTTCGGTCCTAAGATTTTTTTGGTTTCGTCGGGAATCCGACAAGTCTGGTACAACTTCACGGTAAAAAAAAAAAAAATTCAGATTGCCGGTTTATTCAAATGGAATATCTACAACATGTAAGATAGAAATGGATTTTTTTTTCACAACTCAGAAAAAAAAATCGCTACGTCGTGTTTACGTAACGCAATCAAGTTTAGAACGGCCCTTTCACGTGGAACGTGACATGTCGAGCAAGCTGGAATTTCGTTGTACTGTAGTTTACATGTCTCAGTTTCATTGTGGGAATGAAGTCAAACAAGGACACATGGTATAAACAAACAAATTGTAGACCTGATTATCTACTAGACAGGATAGATAGTTGGTGTAGATTTTGAAAACTTTGCTGTTTTGTAATAAGAACTTGACCCAAATGTTTACATTAGCGAGGCGAGTTCAACTACGGCACCCGAAGGCCAGAGAAATAGTTCTTTACGGCTGACAAAATGGCATGTAACTTTCCACCTAATGTATATGAAGCATCTTTGTATCACTGTGGGACTTGAGATTGCCTAAATTAAACGCATTTTATCTGAAACATTTGTTGGAGGAATGATTTGTGTCGCGTCGAACCTCTTGACTGTTGAGTCAGAAAGGTCAAATTACACTCAAGTACTCTGTGAATTTTGCGTTCCCAAAAATTCATTTCACATGTTGCCCAGAGTTTTGAAAGCATATTTTGAAAGCTTAGAGATTGCTTTTTAACGTAGAATGTCTTTTTCTGTTAGAAATCATGTATCGGAAGTGATTTTAGGCCTTTGAAATCTGACAATATTTTGCTCTCGTAAAACCCTTAAAATTTTGTAAATATTTAAAAATCCATAAAATATTCCAGTTGCGATCAATTCAAGAACATGACAAATCAGTATGTGTATTAAACCCCTTTTAATACGATAAGAAGCTATTTGGGTTGAATGACTCTTGAATTCGATTGAAATCGTGGTCTTTTCGTAGCCGGGTCTAGGGGCCCGAAAAAGCGGTCTGGCGGGGGTCGTCAATCGCCCGAACTTGACATTCGCCGTATCGCCGAAATATTTATCCAATGAAACTAAAATTTATATTTTCATCACTAGAATACCTAGGAGAGTCTACATAATTTTTGGGGGATTTTTCCAAAATTTTATTTTTCCCACCTCTGGTCGATATTACAGACATCCGCTCTTAAACGGTGTTTTTGTACTGAGGAATACCTAGGGTGTGTATCAAATGCTTTACTGTTTTACTCTTTACCTTTCTTCAGTTTTTTCTGACAGCAGACTCCAGAATAGCCTTTATTGCAAAAGCATGCTTCTTCCTGTAAACTCCCTCCGTTCAGACAGCTGAGTTCCGGACAAGCTCGCGTTTTTCGAAGTGTTGACGAGCAGGTTCCGCCACACTGTTCAGCTATTACTCTGTGTCGGTTGCTGGTTTGAATGCCAGAAACGCCACAGACTGTCGAGCAGGCACTCCACGCAGACCAAGAGCTCAGCTGACAGTTCACTGATCGTGTACCATAGCAGTGCCGTGTTTCCTCTAAGGTAGAACATTCTGAACCTCCACAACTCGGCTCAGATACTCGCCATCTTGTCCGTTGTTGTGATCCATGTTGTACACATTGTTCAGCACTACATGAGCTCCAAGAAGACCAAGAACTCACTTCACAATTCCGAGGTCTGCAGGATCGACGGCGACGACGTCTTGACCAGGCGTCAGTTTCAAGAAAACAATTTAAAAATAGCAAAACGAGAACTATGTTACAAAACTTCATGCTGAAATTTTTGGAGACCTTTTGCGGAAGTAAAACACTCAAGGTAGTACATTTTCTGTTCTTAGCGTTTCAAGAATGTAATCAGACGTCATCGCTAGATTATATGACCAAAGTCCTATAAAACACGTGCCGACCCTGAGAATGCTTTTGATTGCTTCCGCAGTAAAGGTCAATCTTCGATTCATGACAAAGTCAGAACCGAATTATTCGAAGGCACTTTTTTCAATAGACTAGGTATACCTATCGATAGAGTGCCAACGAGCAAATCATGCGTATTTTGCTCAGGAATAAAATTCCTTTTTTTTCCCATTTGACCGTTTCTTGGTCCCTTCCTGTTGCAAGGATTATTTTCTTGAAAAGTTCTCAGATTCAGTCTGGTGGCTTTACAAACCTACTATGTAAAAGTGTGAATAAAGTCAGCTTTGCAGAGGAAGCGATCGGGAATATTATTAAGTCCAGCTACAAATCTACTGTCGGTTCGGTTTAACATTGTAGATAAATATTTGCACAGTTTAATCATTTAAACCTGCTTTCAAATTTCCCGAGGCTTTTTGTTATCCCATTGAAACTTAGAATGATTCGCTGGGCCATCTGAAATGTTGATGTACGGCACGTCGGTATTTAATTTTAGTTCATTATTTTTATACGGAACTCGGCCAGGTTTCGAAAAAAATGGCGTTGTTTTCTTTTCCTTTGTCGTTCGCTTTAGGCTTGTAATTCGTTTTTTTACTAATTTTTTTTTGTTTGCTGGTTAGATTTTTTCCCCAACACCAGATTTTCCAACAGAGGTGACTGCATTCTTCGTGTCAAGCTTTCCTTATCTCCTCGTGTAATCTGATCCTTTTTAGTGGTGAGAATATTGCTTGTTGCACATAAAACACTTTTGCTGTTTTACAAACTTCTCTTCGTTAAAACTTAACATTATGGCCCCTAAAATTAATAGAATATATCAAGTGCTCATGTTTCTTGACTGCAGTGGCCGGGTTTGACGAAAAAATTTAGGTAAATAAACACAGGAAGTCGCGACGGCGGGAATTGTGTGAAATTTTGTATTTTATTCAACTTGAG